TTTAACTTTATAATGCTATAACTTATTGAAAAGTTTATGGATCCACACAATTTTTTTATGAGAAATAATATTTTTTAATAAACCTTTTTTCATTCGACATACTTTATCTTAATCGAGATATTAATAAGGAACCAGCAGATCAAGTAGCTTTTGGAATAAAACACCAATTTTTTTAAAATTAAACACTATCTAAAGATTTGCATCGAAGCGTTTATTTTTGATAGTGATTTTAATCACTGTCAGATATCATTATACTTGATCCAACTATGCCACGTCACCACTGTGCCGCGACCCCCCTGTGCTGGGTTTTTTTTATTTATGTCTGTTGCTACTTTTTCTCAGCTCTCACTGAACCGATTTCTTTTAACAATACGTCAAAAGATCACAAAATCATATCTAGTTAAAGACATTACTCTTAAAAATTGAAAAATTTTCCCTCACTCCCCGCAAATAGGGGAAATCTCCAAAAAAATTACAATTTTTAAAATCGGTATATTATGTCATTTTTTTCACTTTTTTTTCTTAAAACTTCCATGACTTTTTCAAAAATCAACATATCAACATAATTTTTTTTTATATTAAAACCTTAATTTTTTCCACTTCATTTGATATCATTTTTTTTTAAATCTAACACTTAACTTGCTCACGGGGGGAATTTAAAATAGTAACTTTTTTACAAAAACTAACTTTTTCGACTTAACTTTTGAAAATGTTCCAGAAATACTGCGTCCTTTAAACATATACCATATAAAAGCGTATGTCATGTACTATAAAATGAAAAAAAAAAATCGTCCCGACACTTAACCTTCTGCATGCAAACGGCTGCCGTAGTTAAAATAATGGTATTTTTCTGTTAAAATTTTTGATTTTAAATTTTCAACTTTAAAATACTATAACTTTTCGATAAATGTATGTATCAACACAATTTTTTTCTTCTAAATACAATATAAGTATATCTTTCATTTAACATACTGTTGATTAAAATTGGACAATTTCCCTTATATAGGGGGCGTTTGAAACTTTAAACATTGTATAAAACATAGAACTTTTTCAACTTAACTTTTGAAAATGTTCCGGAAATATTCACAGTTTTATTTAATTTTAAATTAAGGCTTATATTATATACTTTGTTATGAAAAAAAATACGAAGTATACATTTTTTTCTTTGTGAAAATGGTTACCGTATTTAAAAATATGCTATCTTTGTGTTAAAATTCTGGGTTTTGTATTTTATTTTATTTTAAAATATCTTACAAGTGGAATACACTGACTTTAATGAATATATACAATTTAATTGACATAGAATAAAATTCATAAGACATAAGAAATTAAACTTATTAAATTTTTTTTACTTTTTTAAAGTCGAAAAAGTTATTTTTTAATTTTAATTAGCTTAAATTGCTAATTTTATCATGCGAAGAAAACAACGAATTTACGAATTTGTAACACTTGTATCTTTCACGCTTAAGGTATGAGGTTCGAATCCGCCTGTAGCAAATGATATTTTGCATTTTTTTTTGAGTTAGAAAAAAATTTTTAAATTATTTTATTTTTATCTCATTTAGATTCAATAACTTCAATAAATATCAAGGATCTCATCACTATAGACTCTCCTGGCGAGAAGAAATGTCTTATTCATTTTAATATTATTTTACTATGTGGTTTTTTTTGTGGCTACGATTTATTTTGCCAACCCTTACTCGACCTGCTTTTTTCAACAATACGTCAAATGATTACAATTCGTATTTAGTTGAAGATATTACCCTTAAAAATTGAAAAAATATTCCTTATTCAAATAAAAAGTAGCTTAACCAGCTTTTTCAATACAAACAATTAAAATCATTAATTTCTAGTATTTTCAAAATATTTATTGACGAATCAGGTTTGATATGATAGGTTTCAACTACAAAATTAAATCATTTTACTTTGTAATTTAATAATTTTTTTACTCTATTTGTGTGTACTACTAGACTATAATATTACACATTTTTTGGTAACATGTTGCTATATAAATCATTTCTAAAAAAAATGATTGTTAGTTTCTCCTGAATTAACAATGGATTTTTACAAATCAAATTTTATAATAAGCTCAATTGAGTAAATATTTTTAACAACTTTGTTTTGATTGGTTCATTTAGTTAAAGCAAAACATTAAAATTAATTAAGTTCTAAATATTTCAATTGCAGAATCTTTTTAAACACCAAAAGTTATTAGGAAATAATTACTATTACTTCTATTTAAGTTATCTATTACGATAATAATGTAAAAAAAAAATCGAACTTTACTGATAAATTTACTGTAAATAGTAATTATAAAATTTGCTGATTACATATTAATCTTAACAATTTCATTTTTATCTATTTAATAATGTCAATTTCAAACTTGCAAATTGAGCTACTTGTTATGGTAATAAATTCATTTTTTTTTTTATTATAAACTTTCACTTTAAAGGATGAAATAAAGAAGATTAAAAATTATTACTTTTAACATATTAAAAATCAATATCAATAATAATTTGAAAAAAATTCAATATAACAATTATATAATATATAATTTTTTATTATATTTTTGAATCTAAGAATTACTAATCTTGATATAAGTAAGGAAATTGTTGTTGTTGCTTTTATAATTATCCACCAATTTCTGAGAATTAAACATTATCTACAGATTTGCATCGAAGCGTTTTTTTAATGTCCCATTGATGCCTTATCGTGCACAATTATAGATATCACAAACATATGGTTGGGTAACTTCCACTTTGTTTACAAATTGTGATAATACTATCTTAGCTCACATAAATTTGATTACAATAGTGAATCACAGACTGAATATTCATAAATAGGATCCAGTAAATATAATAAAAATAGTAATAGTATTAAATTATTTTTGACGTTAAGTTTTACTACTACGTAATCTTATATTTCTTAGATAAAAATTCCTTATCGTTATTTTTTATAATTACAAATAAATTATCACTCTATTATATTTTTTATAGTTTATTTAATGGATTTAAATCCTAATAATCTATTTGAACAAAAAAAATTGGCAACACATAACAAATCACAACCATCTAATCTTTCTGTTAGTACTATAATTGCAAAAGTTGTTACTGTTTATAAGGTAGAAAATAACTCTTCCTTGTTTGTAGGCAAGTATGGTTTTGCATTAGCAGGTGATAAGGAATCTAAGCACTATCAAATTTTATTATATGGAAAAAATACAATCCTTATTAATTATTCTTTAAATAAAGATTTCGTTTATAATGTTTTTGAAAACAACTGTGTTGAAATCATAACTATGACCCGTTGGAGATTAGAATTTGCTAACATACATGATGCTGTAGATTTTAATTCAAATATTTCACTTATTTTATGGAAATTAAATAATCCTAAAATAATGTTTTGGATCGATCTATACTATCCAATTCGCAATGGAGTTACAGCTAAATTTGGAAGTGTTGTCGAAGTAACATTTAGTGCAAAAATAATTCAAGGTAAAACTATTGGACCTGAAGTATCTAACAATTACGAAGATAATAAAAATCTAAAAGTCCTTATACGAAATGAAGGATGGGAAAAGTCTTTAATGGGTGTAAATGTTGGCACCCAGAGAATAATATACATTCCAGCTGCAGAAATGGGAGCTTGGAAAATTTTAACTGATGGACATCAAAGTTTATGTTTAATTGTAAATGTGAAAAATGTTTATGAAATGGAAGATGATAATGCACAAGTTTCATTAATTATGAATAAAGAAATAAAAATCAAGTTAAATAACAGTTCTTCAGATAATGTACCAAATCAAAATGACCAAGTTGTATTAAACAATATAAATTCATCAAAAAAGTTATTGGTAGAAACATTATCCGAAGAATTAGCGGAACTAAAAAAAGAACACTCTAAAACAATTGAAAGATTAGAAAAACTCGAAATATCATTCAATGAATTTAAATTAAATAAATCTAGTAGTAAAGATATAATTGATTTAGATTTGAGAAAATGTTTGAAGAAGGTATATAAAAGCTTAATTAAAGAATTTCCTACAGATCAAAGTTTTACAGGAAATCAAGTCCAATTTACTATCAGAGAAATTTTTTATAATTACTTAAGTAGTCAAGATTAAATAAATTTCAGAATGCCAAATTATTGTATACTTTATTGTGAAATTTTTAAAGTATTTATGAATAATTAAATTTTTTTTATATATTTTATCTGTGTGAAATTATTAACATTTTTTCCCTTATATGTTACAGAATTATTATTTTATTTCACATTATTCAAACAGATTTATAATATATCAACTGTATAAACTCTAACTATATGTAGCTTAAAAGAATGCAAAAACCAAAATGATAGGTGCCACAAAATAATTATTATTTAGTAAACTATTGTTATATAACTCTGAAATACTTTAAAATCATTAAGTTTTTAGGGTGTCAGATAAGAATACAAACAGAAAGTATTAATGATAAAATTTGTTTTCTTTTCTTTTCTTTTCTTTCAGGCTTTGATGAAGGTTCAGTTAAGCAAAATAATAAAATAATTTGGGTACACATTCTCTGGACAATATTGCTTACAGTGAAAAGTTAAAAACTATTTTTTACATTTTAATAAGTTTTAGTCATTTTCTAAATTAAAAATTAATAACGTCCTAAAAAAGTAAAATAATAATTTTAAAACAAGAATCTTACATGAAATAAAGGATAAAGTATAATTTTATCATTAATAACACAAGAATATATCATACTACATAGAGATACTTAACCCTAGAAGATATCGAGGAATGGAAAACAAGCTTTTTGAGGTTGCGTTAAATCAATTAAATAACAAACAGTACCAGCTAATCCTTCAAATAAACTAAACATATTATCTGGTGTTTTTGATTTTTTCATAAATTCATCTGTGAATAAGAATTCACCAAACATTACAGCTCGGTATAAATGTTTTGTATCTCCAGTTAACCTATATAATAATAGAAAAACATAGCCATTTCCTGCTACTCCATGACATAAACCTTTAAAAAAAAAGTTAAATTATAAAACTTGTTAAAGAATATAATTTTTATGTATAATGTCTTACCTGGTCCTTTTTTTAATAAACCTTTATTCCACACTAAATCGCCACATTTTAGACATGACTCCAAATAAGAAGGTTCTTTGAATAATAAATAAGCTTTGGCAAGTAAATACACAACTCCTGAAAAAATGAATTCTATTTATTAATTACTTTTCAATACTAAAGGAAATGGTTTAAAAAAACCTCGAAATTTTGCCAGCCATATTTGAACATAGAACCAATTTATTACCATTAAAATGCTCTAAACATAAATCTACTATAACTATTTAGATTTATCTTTGATTTTTGTAAGCATTATGGATGAAATGTGATCAGACTTTTAGAATGGCATGTTTAATTTTTAAATAGTCAAAAAAAATTAGTAATATAGCACTAGATCAACAATCAAGAAATTCCAATTTTAAATCTGGTTAGTCTTGATATGATTTGAGATTTTCCTATAAATTTGTGTAGTTATTTTGATAATATCTATTATCTACTCATAAATTTTACTTTTCTTAATATGACCACAGCAAAAATAAAACAATAACAAAAACCAATTGTAATTTATGTGGTTAGATTGTTACTAAAATGTAGTTTATAAAGAACCTGGTTTACTGTATTGATCTGCTTACTTTTATTTTCAAACTTATAGTTAATTATATTGCATTATCGCTAATATAACTACTAAGTTCTATTATTTATGTATTTAATGTAAAGAAGTATTTTTATAAATTATTTATTTTCTATTGTCTTAATAATAACATTGTAATTACTTAAATTTTGTGTTTATTTCTTTTCATTCTAACAATAAGTGTTTAAAATCCACAAAGCAATTCTTTGACTTTAACAATTTTATATAATAAATGATAAATTTCAATTTTTGTAGAACTATTCAGTATTAAAACTCAAATAACACATACTAATGTCTACATAAGTTGATTTATTACATAGAAAATATTAAGTCAATTTAGTGACCATGAAAAATCATGTGCTTATATTAATTTAATTTATATGGTTAATATGCTTTGAAAAATAAACTATTTAGAATACCTGGTGATCCATGACACCAATGAACTAATTCATCGGATTCTGGTCTTTTTAAAGAACCAAGTTCATCCATTGCACATGGAAAATTCCCACTGTCAGTTTGTAAAGAAACAAGTAAATCAATACTCTTTTTTATATCTTGTTTTGCTGATTGATTAGTTTCAATGAACTGTGGAAATGAAATCAAAGTTTGCAAAATAGTAGATAAACCATGGGCTGCTCCTAAAAAACAAATTTGAATTAGGTATGATTTTAATTTATATATGTGTCACCAGACCCTATAAAATTTTCTATTTTTTCACCATAACAACAACAAAAAAACATTGAATAAAATCAAATCAAATATATTACATTCTTGCTTACCCACTATTAATTTAAATAACACTATATTGAGTTCTTTAAACATAATTACATTACTCTAAAATAGTGTTACACATCATTGATAAACAACGAGTAATACAATAACACTTAAAACTGTTAGCTACTATTAAAACATATTTTTAGAGGGAATATTTGTAAGGATTTATTAATTTTACATACCTAAATATTCAGTCTTATAATAAGAATACATAAGTGGAAAAATGCTTTTGGTTCTTCTAGAATATTTACGTCCAGATTCTACAATAGTAGAGCATAATTGAATGATATCTGTATCAGGCAAAATCTCTTTACCTAATATTTTTTCTAACCACAAAATTCCACATAAATAGCCAGCACGGCCAACAAATAATTCATCACCTCCAGGTTTAAAAAAATCTATTGGTTGGCAAGTTATTGCTCCTTTTTTAAAACTTTCAAGATGTTTATTAGCCAAGATTTCATTTCCAACTCTGTGATAAATTACTGCACTTACAGCATTTATTCCAGCATCTCCACAAATAAACTGACAAGCACTACTACTACTAAAAAGTATAGCTGGTTTCAAACTTAAGCATTCGATAGCATAATTTAAGAATTTTTTAGCATCATTACGATATCCATCTGATTCAGCTAAGCAAAAAAACATAAATGCAATTCCAGTAGAACCAGTATACAAATCATTATCATTAGATAGTGCTGCATTTTTTTTAATGTAGTCTACCATATCAAACAATCTGGTCCGCCAATATTGGGGTGAAGTGTTTAACTCTCTTGGTGTGTAACTGGGAAATATATTTTCAAAAAACCGTTTAGCCATTCTTCGTTTCAACCATTAAACATTAAGATTTATTAGTTAAATCAATATTTTAGTAGAAATTTATAAAAAATACATAGACGAACACAATCATTAGTCATAATTATTTGTAATCGTAGTAAATACACATAATAATAACTTCTAAAAATATATAAAGGAATTTTATAAAAAAATTTGTTTATTACCAGTATTTTCCAGTAATTTAAATTTTGAATTAAGTTTACATATAGATTTAACACACCCCACTACATGTTTATATTACAAATAAGATAAAAGACATTTTTTTAACTTCGATAAGTTAAAATCACAGGTATAGATAATAAATAAGATTGCCAATGATCATGAGTGGAGTCAAATAGCCGCCATATTTTATAGCCCAAAAAATTTTTTTCTATACTTTGTGTACAAATAATTTTATTATCACAATAATAAAAAAGTTATTGATAACAAAAGTATACACAAAGTGTCGAAAATGGAATGATTTGTCTCATTAAAGGATAGCGGTTATTTAACTGCAGCCGTATTACTAGTTAGCAATCTATTTTATTAATCCATAATACCTGTCCCGTCCATTATTAACCTAGAATCATGTATGACTTAATTCTAAGGAAGTGGGTAAGATTAAACTGAAGTACTTCTCAAAATGTGCCTAAAATTTAGAAAATATTTGAAGACTCCATCAACTAGCCACCCGTCTCGGAGTATCAAAGGTTAAGAAAATATCCCATTAGGCCCTATTGGGATGATTAAAAATTAATAGCAACTTCCCCTAATTATTAGGGGAAGTCGCTATTAATTTTTAATTGGCTTCTTCTTCTTCCTTGCTTTATTCCCAACTACTTGGGGTCGGCCACCCTTATCCTAAACTTCCACTTGATATGATATCCCACATCTTCTACGCTCACATCAACCGTCCTCATATCGCATTCAATAACATCTCTTTTTTGGTCTTCCTCTACCTCTTCTTCCTTCAACATTCATTGCTACAACTGTTTCTAGGACTTCTGATTCTTCTTTCCTCATAATATGACTAAACCAATCCACGATAGACGTTACACCTATACTCCCTCTTATATGCTCGTTCCTTATCCTATATTCTCTAGTCACTTCACTCATCCATCTAAGAATTTTCATCTCTGCTACAGTCATTCTCTGCTCTACTTTCTTATTAACCGCCCAACACTGAACCATACATCATAGCTAGTCTCACTATAGTCTTGTAGAATTTACCTTTTACCCTCGTAGGAATTCTTTTATCGCATAAGACACCAGACGCTTCTCTCCACTTCAATCAATCGCACTTAATCTCGTGTCTTACATCCTCGTCAATACCACCGCTCTTTTGCACAACTGATCCTAAATACTTAAAACTTTCCACTTCTTCAATCACGTCCTCACCTATTGTCATTGGTCTCCTTATTTCACCTACCTTGTGTTCTCCTTTATCAAACTCCTGCTCTATATACTCTGTCTTACTCATTACACCACGGCACCTCTCCTTGTATTCCTCTAGTAATTTCATCCATCACTATAGAAAATAAGTAAGGGCTTAAAGCAGAACCTTGGTGTACTCCTATCTTTACCCGAAAACCTTCTGTTAATCCTCTTATGCTTTTTACCCTTGTAAAAGTGTCATCATACATATCTTCTATTATTTTAATGTACTCTATATCGGTACTCTATCATATGCTTTATCCGAATCTATAAATACCATACAAAGCTTTTTTTCTTTTCCCTAAACTTTTCTATTAATTTCCTCACACAAAATAATGGCTCCATTATTGACTTACCAGGCATAAATCCAAACTGGTTTTTAGATACCGATGTCTCATTTCTTACTCTCTTATCTACTACTTTTTCCCAAATTTTCATACTATAACTCATAAGCTTTATGCCTCTATGATTTCCACACTCCTGTATGTCACATTTACCTTTAAATATCGGCACCACAATACTATTCCTCCATTCATTTGGAATTTTCCCTTCTAATAAGATTCTCTTTAAAAGTCCCTTCAACCACCTTATGCCAACACCGCCTAATATTTTCCATACTTCTACTGGCACTTCATCTGGTCCTACTGCTTTATTCATTTTCATTGATGCCATAGTCTCCCATACCTATTTCTCACTAATTAAATATACCAGTCCATCATTCCACGAGATATCCTCTAATGTCTCTTTTAGATACTTCTCATTCAGTAATATTTCAAAATACTCTTTACCCCTTTTTTTCACATCATCATCACTCGAGAGTATCTTATTATTAACACTTTTTATACACCTTATATAATGATAACTTTTAGACCTTTTATCTCTTACTTTTGCTATTTTTTTTCTCTTACTTTAATTGGCTTAAAAAGATAAAAAAAAAATGAATTAACTAACGAACTCAGCTAGTTAATAATTATAAATTAATAATTTATTACAAAATAATACACATTTTATGATGTTATGAGGAAAATATAAAGATATAATGTTTTTTTCTTCTTTATTAATATATACACAATCTATACACAAACGGCACAATAAGAGTATTAGCTAAGATAAACAAGAATGAAATATTGAATGAAGAAGCCACCCACCGATGACACTTTCGTCTTTTAATTATTTTGTTTTGTCCTTATACGCATATTTATATANTGATTTGAAACATATGGTGGACAATTGGTAATTTTTCTTAGTATTTTATTTTGGAACCGTTGAATTTTATTTAGGTTAGAAATTTTTGCGTTGCCCCATAGCTGTAAGCCGTACGTCCAGATTGGCTTTAGGAGAGATTTGTAAAGGAGTAGTTTAATATTTAGGTTTAAGTGTTTGTTGTTGATGATTAGGGTTTTGAGTATTTGTAAGCGGGAGTTTAATTGTGATGTTTTGGCTATGATATGTTGAGCCCAAGTAATGCGGCGATCAATAGTTAGCCCGAGGTATTTAACGTTTGGGGATGAGGGAATCCGAGTGCCAAAAATTGATATCTCTGGACATGGTGCTAATTTAAGTGTGAATGTAGTATGTACTGATTTGGCTTGGTTTATTTTAAATCGCCACTTTNAATTTGGCTTGGTTTATTTTAAATTGCCACTTTTTGTACCAATCTTCCATAAGTGAGAGATGATTTTGTAGGTTTTTGGAGGCTATAATAGGATCTGAACTGGATGATATTATGACTTTATCATCCGCATAGTCTGCTACTAAAGTGTTGGGTGTGGTCGGTTGGTCGGATNTAAAGATATAATGTTAAAAAAAAAATTGTTGCTTGTTAACATAATATCACACAGGTAGGATATGCCAGGCCTATACTGTAAGTTAAATCATGGTAAAATCTTGAAGTTAATATTTGTTTTTCGGATGAAATTATTTTTTATTTTATTTGATTGTTCTGTAAAATATGTTTTTTTTTTTGGTTTCATTCTTATCGAAACCGGGCTAAAATCAAAGTTGTTTTAACTTTACGACAGTTAAAACGTTAACAATATTATTATGTTATACGATTAAAATAATGAAAACGTTATGAATTTATATCGTGTTTAATTTTGTTTTATTTAAATAATATCAATTTGTTATGATTTAAATTATGCGATATTTAAACGTTATTGATCATATTTTCCCCTTATTAGGAATTAATCCATCATTGATAACATGTGAAAATTACAATTTTCGACATTTTTTATACTTTTTTACTTAAAACTGCAATAAATTTTTGAAAAATGAATGAATAGAAACAAAGTTTTGTATAGATACATTAGGTATTTACCTATTATTTGGTATATTTTTTTGAAAATCTTACCTTTTACCTGTCCACAAAGGAGAAGATTCAAAATGATATATTTTCTACAAAAAATGAACTTTTTCAAATTAACTTTTGAAAGTGTTCCGGAAATACTGACACTTTTATATACCCTTAGGTTATATTATATAACCTTAAATTAAAGTTTATATAATATACATTATTATGGGAATAAAAATTGGGGACTTTATTTTATTTTCAAGGTGAAAACTAACATCAAAGTTAATAAAAAAAATTGTTTTTTTATTTTTAACTTTATAACTTTTATGAAATGTATGGATCATTAAAATTTATTTAAGATAAGTAATATTTATATCCCTCTTTCATTCGACATACTTTATCTTAATCAGAAAATATATAAGGAAATAGCAGATCATGTAGCTTTTGGAATAATCCACCAATTTTTAAAATTAAACACTATATACAGATTTTCATCGAAGCGTTTTTTATGATAGTGATTTTAATCACTGTCAGATATCATTATACTTGATCCCACTATGCCGCGACCCCACTGTACTGGGTTTTTTTTTTTATTCCTTTAAGTCAAGAAAGATAATTGAACTAGTTTAAATTGCCATTTTTATCCACTGACCATATGTACGTACGATTGCTGAGTCGGTAACACTTGTATCTTTCATGCTTAGAGTACTAAGTTCGGACCCCAAACAAAATTTCATTTTTTCTTAATTTCATTTTTTTTAGCTTCGATGCGAAGCTGAAAAGGTATTGGTTTTACTATGATGTGTTTTTTTTTTTTTTTTTTTTTTTTTTGTGTCTGTTATCACTTTTTCTCAGCTCTTACCGAACGGATTTCTTTCAACGATACGTCAAAAGATCACAAATCGTATCTAGTCGAAGACATTACCCTTAAAAATTGAAAAAAATTCCCCCGTTCCCCGTAAATGGGGGAAACCTCCAAAAAAATTACAAATTTAAAAATCGCTAATTTTCGAAATTTTTTCAATTATTTTTACTAAAATGTGCCATAACTTTTTCAAAAATGAACATATCAATATAATTTTTTTTTTTATAGATGCTTGATGTCTTTACCTATCATTTAGCATATAATTTTTGTAAATCTGACTCTTAACCTGCCTCAGGGAGGGATTTAAAATGACAACTTTTTTACAAAAAAATTACTTTTTCAACTTAACTTTTTAAAGTGTTCTGGAAGGTCTGACACTTTTATATATATCTTAAATTAAAGCTAATGTAATATACTTTATTATGCAAAAAAAAAATTTCGGACTTTATTTTGTCTTCACGGCGAAAATCGCTACAGAATGCTATTTTCGTGTGAAAATTCTCGATTTTATTATTTATATTATATTTAACTTTATAATGCTATAACTTATTGAAAAGTTTATGGATCCACACAATTTTTTTATGAGAAATAATATTTTTTAATAAACCCTTTTTCATTCGACATACTTTATCTTAATCGAGATATTAATAAGGAACCAGCAGATCAAGTAGCTTTTGGAATAAAACACCAATTTTTTTAAAATTAAACACTATCTAAAGATTTGCATCGAAGCGTTTATTTTTGATAGTGATTTTAATCACTATCAGATATCATTATACTTGATCCAACTATGCCACGTCACCACTGTGCCGCGACCCCCCTGTGCTGGGTTTTTTCATTCTTTTTTGAGTTTTTGAAAAAATGTTCAACTTATTTGATTTTTACCTCATTTAGATTCAATAACTTTAATAAATATCAAGGACCCAGTCATTGTAATATCTCTTTGTGAAAAGAAATTTCTTATTTATTTTTAAATTATTGTAATACGTTTTTTTGTGGCTGTCATTTATTTTCTCAGCTCTCACTTGACCAATTTTTTTTAAAGATGACCTTTACCTGCTCAACGAAGGGATTTTAAATGACAACTTTTTCAACTTAACTTTTGAAAGTGTTCCGAAAAGTTTGACACTTTTATATATATCTTAAATTAAAGCTAATGTAATATACTTTAACAACGAAAAAAAAATTCCGGACTTTATTTTGTCTTCACGGTGAAAATGGCTACCGAATGCTATTTTTGTGTGAAAACTATGGATTTTATATTTTACATTTTTAACTTTATAATGCTATAACTTATTGAAAAGTGTTGATCAATACAATTTTTTTATGAGAAAAAATATTTATATCCCTCTATCATTCGACATACTTTTTTTGAAAATAACACCTCTTCCCTTTATATATTTAAATATTATATATATATATATTACACTTATAAATAGTAAAACTTGTAATCAGGATATAAATAAGGAAATAGGAGTTCATGTAGCTTTTAGAATAATTCACCAATTTTTAGCTTCGATGCGAAGCTGAGAAGGTATTAATTTTACTATGGTGTGTTTTTTTTTATTTTGTGTCTGTGAACGCTCAATCTCAGGTTTCAACTACAAAATTAAATCATTTTACTTTGTAATTTAATAATTTTTTTACTCTATTTGTGTGTACTACTAGACTATAATATTACACATTTTTTGGTAACATGTTGCTATATAAATCATTTCTAAAAAAAATGATTGTTAGTTTCTCCTGAATTAACAATGGATTTTTACAATTATAATCAAATTTTATAATAAGCTCAATTGAGTAAATATTTTTAACAACTTTGTTTTGATTGGTTCATTTAGTTAAAGCAAAACATTAAAATTAATTAAGTTCTAAATATTTCAATTGCAGAATCTTTTTAAACACCAAAAGTTATTAGGAAATAATTACTATTACTTCTATTTAAGTTATCTATTACGATAATAATGTAAAAAAAAAATCGAACTTTACTGATAAATTTACTGTAAATAGTAATTATAAAATTTGCTGATTACATATTAATCTTAACAATTTCATTTTTATCTATTTAATAATGTCAATTTCAAACTTGCAAATTGAGCTACTTGTTATGGTAATAAATTCATTTTTTTTTTTATTATAAACTTTCACTTTAAAGGATGAAATAAAGAAGATTAAAAATTATTACTTTTAACATATTAAAAATCAATATCAATAATAATTTGAAAAAAATTCAATATAACAATTATATAATATATAATTTTTTATTATATTTTTGAATCTAAGAATTACTAATCTTGATATAAGTAAGGAAATTGTTGTTGTTGCTTTTATAATTATCCACCAATTTCTGAGAATTAAACATTATCTACAGATTTGCATCGAAGCGTTTCTTATGATAGTGATTTTAATCACTGTAAGATTAAATCTATACTGGATCCAAATGTGCCACAATCTTACTGTGCTGGGTTTTTTAATGATCTAGAAACTTTTTTTATATACTATACTAGCAATTATTCCCAATATATGTCACTATCTAAAATACCATGGTAACCATACTATTCAATGTATATACACACCATATAATACTTATTGCTTGTTGTCTTTAATCAAAGAAAGTTATAAAATATAATAATACACATGAAATTTAACTGTTTAAATTGTATAAATAAATTTTAAAATGTCATATAGAGATTTATTTAGTAAGGGTTTTTAAAATTTTTTTTATCATTACTGATTTTGATACATATCTTATATTTTTAGAATTTAGTGAAACTATGAGGTCATTAGGATTTCATCGTCAAATACCAATTGATAGTTTTCACAATTCAAATTTTTCTTTGATGGCTCAAGTTTTAATATGGCTATCTTTACGTTTCGAACCTGAGTCTACTCTATTATATGACATTGAAACACCTGACCAAAGGGTTTATTTCATTAGAACAATAGCAGAGTTTTTTGTATGTACATTATTTCATTAACTGTAAGTAAAGAAAAAAGTATGCTATTTTACATTTTAGGCTTTAAAAGCGAATGTCAAACTCAACGTAAAAAAACTCTATCAAGCAGACAGAAATGCAATTGGCGAATTATTGAAAATCACAGATTTGTTAAATGATGCGTTGAGATCAAAGATTACATATAACAACAAGAAAGAAATTTCAAAATTTGATACAAATTTATATTCTAAAGTATTTTATTTTCAAATACAGAATGGTTAATTTATCGCAAACCATTAAATTTCTCCTAAAATAATAATAATTATTTTTTAAAAGGGTTTTAACCTAGTTCTGTATTATTTATTTTCTAAAATTTTTAAGTGGTTAAATATTTTTTAGGTCTATTCATTATCCCTTAAAAGGATATAAACTTAATTTTTTCAACAGCAACATATATACTTAATAGATTATTAAAGTATGTAATTATTAGTAAATGATCTAAGATAATGACTGGTTGATAACATCTTTTGAACCAATATTTCTGAAGTTATTAACATTATTAAATGTATACAGGAAGCATAATACGGGTTATGTCTTTTTTTATCACTAAGCTTTTCTCAGTCGCACAACTTATCCCATCCAGGTTTAATAAATATTCATAATTCCTGGACTATGAGCTCAAAAGTTGTTTTTGGATAAAAAAAGTTAAGTTGGTACCCATATAAGGGTCAAGGGATAGACATAAAAATATTTAACTATTTAAAAATTGAAAAATAAATTATTATTTTAGAAAAAATTAAATGGTCAATTATAAATCAATTCATCCTACAACTATTATATATTATAACATGTATAAAATAAAAATTGATAGTAATATTACCCTTAAAGAATAATGAATTAAAAAAACAAAGAGAGTTGGCAGTGGAGATAACTATTAAAGGATCTCAGCTTTATCAATCCCTAGAAGAAGAAACTGAATTACGGCCCATTAGAGAAAAATGTTTAAATGCATTTTTAGACATTGGAGACATGGAACAAAGTTTGAAATCTTTAATTGAAAAAACTAAAAATAAAACTGAGGAAACAAAAAATTTGATAAAAAATATAACTTCTACTAAAGAAAATTTAGATACAAAAATTGCTAAAAGACGTGAAGATTTAGATAGAAATTTAAAAAGACTAAATACACTGAAACAAGTTAGGTTAGTAAATGCCACTTTTATTTTATAGATAAATTTCTGTAGGACTCAGATATGTTCAAAATATGACAAACAAATAACACGTATCAAAAATTAAAACATTAGTTGAATTCCTTTATTCAGGTTCTAAAGCTGTAAAATATGTTACCATTCACTTTTACTTTTATAAAATCACTCTTATTCCCATCAATTGTTTTTTTAAATAAATTTTTCTTAAAAAATTGAATAATTTTTATTATTACAATGTGTAATACAAATTTGTTAAACAGACCTGCATTTTTGGAAGAATTTGAAGATTTAGAGTCTGAACTAAGAATCTTATATCAAGAATATATACTAAGGCAAAGATGTATAAATTACTTAGAAAATCAACAAGAACAAGCAGCCCATATAGAATTAATGCGAATGAAAGAACAACAAGTAATTTATAATAAAAAATTTAAATGTATAGAATTGAAATCCTAAAATAATTTATTATGGTTTGTACATTAAGGAATTGGCAAAAAATAAAATAAAGAATAATAAGTTGGATGACGAGTTCAAAATATTAGATGAAGACAATGAACATAATTTACTACCTGAAAAAGTACCTGGATGTAATCAATTTTGATTGTTTAAAAATTATCTTTTATAATACTTATAGAACTTTATAAAACTGTAGTTAAATGTTAAAATATAAATTTTAATTATATACACAGCTAGTAATGAATCAATAAATAAAGACCATGGGATGTTTAGCAGACTTACAGATAGTGAAACAGATTCTGATTTGATGCTAGATGATGAGGATTCAAATCTTTTAGCCTCTGATGCAGATTTATCAACTTCAAAAGCAGAAAAGTCTGGAAGTGTTCAAAGTGATAGTGATAATTAAGTTAATAATAAACAGTTAGTATTTATAAACATTTTTTTAATTCATTGTTTATATTATACTTTTTTCACAATTTGTACAACATCTTCATCATTTAAAATATGATCTTTTCCAACTTTTTGGGGCATGTGTTTCACAGATGAACCCCAAACAAGAGCACTTAAATAAATTGCATAAAAAATTAATTATTAAAAAATTTAATACTTTTCCTTTAAAATGCTTACTATTTAAACTCTTTAGCTATTGTACGATGAAGTTTGTTGCAAAAATCTTCAATACTTTTTCTTTCATTATGTAAAACAATGGGTGATCCATAATCTGGAAGTTGACCTTTAGGTTTGGTGTAACTATAAAATATAACAATAAAAAAGACATTTTATACATATTAAAAGTAATTAATAAATTTGCTTCCTAAAATAAAAAACTTTTCTTGTTTAAAAATATAAATATTAGCTTTAAAAATATATAGTTATTTAAAATTATGAAAAATTAATAATTTAAAAAGTCATACGAGAAAGAACAAACAGTTTTTGATAAAACTGTTTCTAAAAAAGTTTCTATGATAAAGAGATTACATTTCTTTAAGAAATTTATTATGAAGAAAAGTTATTTTAAGTCTAATAAAAATATTTATAAAATACTAAATACTGCAGTTTTTATAACTGATTTTTATTAAACAAAATTATTCTTTTCAAGCCTATGAAGTTATCATAATAATCTTTGATATTTGAGAAACAATATAAATTAAACAAAAAAAAGGTACATACCACATAGTGAATTTTATTGTAATCAGTATTATTTGAAATATTAGATTATGGTTATAGACTTTTAAAGAAATTTTTTTTTTTAACCATAGAATTAAATAACATTAATTTACAGCTTAAATAATCTAATATGACTTGTAAAAATGAACAAAATTTATAAATCTCATTTAAATTTTAAAAATGCCAATGATTAAATACTGCCTAATTATTTGATGATAATTAATAGTAGAATCCAAAAGATTAATTAGGAATTACTAGAAATAATCAATTGTCAAAGAAATTCAATCAATATCTTCATGTTTAGCAGCAGATAATAACTAAAAATATTATCATATTAACTTTAGCTTATTATTTACATTCGAACTAATTTTAAATACTCCCACATCTTCTCTAAAAGATCATCAAAGTTCCATTTATGATGAGCACTTATAGGTACTGTATGTGGTATTTTGTAAATAATATCTAATTCTTCAATACTTATTTGATCTAAAAAAAGTATAAAAATATAAGTTGTGAAGAAAAACCATAAGAGTAATATAATGACTTATTTTACAATTGCTCTAAGTATTTTTATAGAAAGAACACAATTTTAATTTACCTATTTTATTTAGAATGTAAATACAAGGCAAATATATACGATTTCCTTCCACAACATCAATAAGATCATCAGAGGTAGCATCATATCGCAAAGTTATATCAGCATTATGAATTCGATATTCTGACAAAATAGTTTTAACAGTATCTAAATCTAACTCACTTTGAGGTACCTAAGTAAAAAATATTATTTGATACAGTGTATATTCATTGATTTTATTTTTTTTAACTAATAATAAATAAATTTTAATATATTACCATTGTTTGTAAGTTAATGCCACCTTTATCTTTTCTACGAAAAACTATATTAGGAGGAGACTTATTTAGTCTAAGACCAAATCCTTCTAATTCGTGTTCAATTAATTTCTTATGTTTTAAAGGTTTTAGCACATCTAGTACAATAAAAATTAAAGAACAAGTACGGGCTACAGCAATAACTTGACGACCTCGACCTTTACCATCCTTAGCACCTTCAATGATACCAGGCAAATCTAGCAACTAAAAATGCATAAATGTTGAAATAATTTTGTAAGTTTTTATTGAATAAAATAAAAGCCGTAATTTTTTTAACTTTTTAGGGTTAAAGTTATTTTTATATATTATATATATTAAAACCTGTATTTTCGCGCCTTTGTACTTGATACAACCAGGAACAGTTGTCAATGTTGTAAATTCATAAGCAGCAACTTCTGAATATACACCAGCAAGATTGCTTAACAAAGTTGATTTTCCAACAGATGGAAAACCTATTTACAATATCACATTTATTTTAGTAAACAATGAAGAAATATATTATTTTTTAAGAAAAAAAAATATAAATAAAATAAAAAATAGCTAAAAAATGTTATTACCTACAAATCCAATTCTTGCATCACCAGTTTTAGCAACATCAAATCCTTCTCCAGTACCACCACCACCACCTTTAGGTGTAATAAGCTCACGACGTAACTTAGCAATTCGCGCTTTTAATAAACCCAAATGACCAGCTGTAGCTTTATTTTTTTGGGTTCTGGCCATCTAATTTTAAATTATTAAGTAAAATACATATGAGTCTATAAATTGGTAAATAATTATTTAAAATAAATATTAATCATTACCTCAGCTTCAATGGCCGCAATTTTTTCAAGTATAGTTGACATTTTTAAATCCTTTTTAAAATTTCAACAAAATATAAAAAGTATTTGGAATGAAATTATCTAACTCTATAACTTCATAATACTTAAAGAACGTTCACAATGTATAGACCACTAAGAGATCTGAATAAGATACCTGAAAATAATTAATAGTATATTACTAAAGAACTTTAAATAATAATATTGCGATTTGCCAAAAAATTCTTTAAGAATAGTTATTATTTAGTATTCTAACCTCAAATTCAATATTCCGTAAAGTTCTAAACGAACAAGATAATATAATAAAAAATTAATTGATTGTTAGGGTTTATCACAAAATTAAAAAAGTCTTATCTATTCGGGAAAACACCTTTGCCACGAACTGATAATTCTCCGACATTTACATACTTCCTTCAACATTTGTCAAAATAGTTTTTTTTCATAATAAAGTATATAATATAAGTTTTAAATTAAATAAAAGTGTCAATACTTCCAGAACATTTTCAAAAATTAAACCGAAAAAGCTTAACTTATGTGCAAAAATTGCTTTTTTGAATCCCCCCTGTGGGCAGGTTTAGAGTAGATTTTCAAAAAATTTATGTCAAATTAAAGAAAAATATCTAAAGTTACAATATAAAAAAAGAAAAATTTTTTATTTTACAAAGTTATAGCAGTATTAAGTATTAAAAAACCCAACACAGGGGGTCGCGGCACAGTGGTATCGTGGTATAGTTGGATCAAGTATAATGATATCTGACAGTGATTAAAATCACTATCAAAAAAAACGCTTCGATGCAAATCTTTAGATTGTGTTAAATTTTAAAAAAATTGGTGTTTTATTCCAAAAGCTACATGATCTGCTGGTTCGTTATTAATATCTCGATTAAGATAAAATATGTCGAACGAAAAAGGGTTTATTAAAAAATATTATTTCTCAGAAAAAAATTGTGTGGATCCATACACTTTTCAATAAGTTATAGCATTATAAAGTTAAAAATGTAAAATATAAAATCCATAGTTTTCACACAAAAATAACATTCGGTAGCCATTTTCACCGTGAAGACAAAATAAAGTCCGGAATTTTTTTTTCGTTGTTAAAGTATATTACATTAGCTTTAATTTAAGATATATATAAAAGTGTCAAACTTTTCGGAACACTTTCAAAAGTTAAGTTGAAAAAGTTGTCATTTAAAATCCCTTCGTTGAGCAGGTAAAGGTCATCTTTAAAAAAAATTGGTCAAGTGAGAGCTGAGAAAATAAATGACAGCCACAAAAAAACGTATTACAATAATTTAAAAATAAATAAGAAATTTCTTTTCACAAAGAGATATTACAATGACTGGGTCCTTGATATTTATTAAAGTTATTGAATCTAAATGAGGTAAAAATCAAATAAGTTGAACATTTTTTCAAAAACTCAAAAAAGAATGAAAAAACCCAGCACAGGGGGGTCGCGGCACAGTGGTGACGTGGCATAGTTGGATCAAGTATAATGATATCTGATAGTGATTAAAATCACTATCAAAAATAAACGCTTCGATGCAAATCTTTAGATAGTGTTTAATTTTAAAAAAATTGGTGTTTTATTCCAAAAGCTACTTGATCTGCTGGTTCCTTATTAATATCTCGATTAAGATAAAGTATGTCGAATGAAAAAGGGTTTATTAAAAAATATTATTTCTCATAAAAAAATTGTGTGGATCCATAAACTTTTCAATAAGTTATAGCATTATAAAGTTAAATATAATATAAATAATAAAATCGAGAATTTTCACACGAAATTAGCATTGTGTAGCGATTTTCGCCGTGAAGACAAAATAAAGTCCGAAATTTTTTTTTTGCATAATAAAGTAGATTACATTAGCTTTAATTTAAGATATATATAAAAGTGTCAGACCTTCCGGAACACTTTAAAAAGTTAAGTTGAAAAAGTAATTTTTTTGTAAAAAAGTTGTCATTTTAAATCCCTCCCTGAGGGCAGGTTAAGAGTCAGATTTACAAAAATTATATGCTAAATGATAGGTAAAGACATCAAGCATCTATAAAAAAAATATTATATTGATATGTTCATTTTTGAAAAAGTTATGGCACATTTTAGTAAAAATAATTGAAAAAATTTCGAAAATTAGCGATTTTTAAATTTGTAATTTTTTTGGAGGTTTCCCCCATTTACGGGGAACGAGGGAAATTTTTTCAATTTTGAAGGGTAATGTCTTCGACTAGATACGATTTGTGATCTTTTGACGTATCGTTGAAAGAAATCCGTTCGGTGAGAGCTGAGAAAAAGTGGTAACAGACACAAAAAAAAAAACACATCATAGTAAAACCAATACCTTCTCAGCTTCGCATCGAAGCTAATATTTCATATTAAACAGTAATTTTTACATAAAAATTGCATTATTCGTTAAATTCGACGGCCATTTTCCCATAAAAGAAAAAGGTGTTGGGACAAACTGTTTTTTTTTAACTTATAGTACTTATTGTAAGCTTTAATTTGACATATGATTAAAGGACGCAGTATTTCCGGAACATTTTCAATAGTTAAGTATAAAAAGTTCTACTTTTTATACGTATATTTCAAGTTTTGAACGCCCTCTGTATAAGGAGAAATTGTCCAATTTAAATAAAAATTATGTTAAATAAAAGAAATATATATAACGTATTTAAAAAAAAAAATTTTGTGTTGATACATACATTTTAGCTTCGATGCGAAGCTGAGAAGGTATTAATTTTAATATGATGTGTTTTTTTTTTTTTATGTCTGTTGCCACTTTTTCTCAGCTCTCACTGGACCGATTTCTTTCAACAATACGTCAAAAGATCACAAATCGTAATAGCAAACTTTTTTATAAAAACTAACTTTTTCAACTTAATTTTTGAAAATGTTCCGGAAATTGTGCGTTCTTTAAACATATGTCAAATTAAAGCTTATGTGATGTACTATAAAATTAAAAAAAAAAATTTGTTCCGACGACCTATCTTCTATGCGCAAATGGCTACCATATTCAAAAATATGCTATTTTTGTGTTAAAATCCTGGGTTTTGTATTTTATTTTATTTTAAAATATCTTATAAGGGCAATACACTTCCCTATTTTTTTATAATTATTATTTTTATAATAGGCTAAATTGAATAACTTTTTTTTTATTGGTTTTTTTAGATATATAATCATTAAAATTAATTAAATACTGAATATTTCCATTGTAGAATCTTTTTAAACGCCAAAAGTTAATTAGAAATGATTACTATGATTCTCCTGAATTAACAATGGATTTTTACAAATCAAATTTTATAATAAGCTCAATTGAGTAAATATTTTTAACAACTTTGTTTTGATTGGTTCATTTAGTTAAAGCAAAACATTAAAATTAATTAAGTTCTAAATATTTCAATTGCAGAATCTTTTTAAACACCAAAAGTTATTAGGAAATGATTACTATTACTTCTATTTAAGTTATCTATTACGATAAAAATGTAAAAAAATCTAACTTTTCTGATAAATATAATGTAAATAGTAATTACAAAATTTGCTGACAGCATATTAATCTTAATAATTTCATTTTTATCTATTTAATAATGTCAATTTCAAACTTGCAAATTGAGCTACTTGTTATGGTAATAAATTAATTTTTTTTTTTAATAAAACTTTCACTTTAAAGGACAATAAAAAGTAGGTTCAAAATTATTACTTTTAACATATTAAAAATCAAAATCAATAATAATTTGAAAACAATTAATTTTAAAAATTATATAATATATAATTAAAAGAATTACTAATCTGGGTATAATTAAGGAAATAGAAGTTGATATTGCTTTTGTAATTATCCATCAATTTTTTAAAATTAAACACTATTTACAGATTTGCATCGAAGCGTTTCTTATGATGAAGATTTTAATCACTGTGCTGGGTTTTTTTACAATTTATATTTGAAAATTTAAAATCGAAAATTTTAACACAAAAATAGCATTTTTTAAGTTTCAGCCATTTGCAAGTAGAAGATAAGGTGTTGAGACAAATTTTTTTTTTCTCATTTTATAGTATATGACATAAGTTTTAATTTGATATATGTTTAAAGAACACAGTATTTCCGGATCATTTTCAAAAGTTATGTTAAAATAGTTGAGTTTTAAAAAAAAGTTGCTACTTTAAATCCCCCCTTGTGAACAAGTTAAGTGATATATTTTTAAAAAAATCATGTCAAATTAAAGGGAAATATCTAAGGTACAATATAAAAAAACCCAGCACAGGGGGGTCGCGGCACAGTGGTGACGTGGTATAGATGGATCAAGTATAATGATATCTGACAGTGATTAAAATCACTATCAAAAAAAAAACGCTTCGATGCAAATCTTTAGATAGTGTTTAATTTTAAAAAATTGGTGGATTATTCCAAAAGCTTCATAAACTGCTAGTTCCTTATTAATATCCTGATTAAGATAAAGTATGTCGAATGAAAAAGGGATTATTAAAAAATAGTATTTCCCATAAAAAAATTATATTGATCAATACACTTTTCAATAAGTTATAGCATTATAAAGTTAAAAATGTAAAAAA